CGTCCTTTCTCTTATATATAACATAAATGTCAATTGTGATAAATAATAATTTAAACAATCTATAATTTTATAATACTAATGTTAGTGAATAAATAATAAAAATTATTTAATCATAAATATAGCTTACTTTTCTATATTTTGTTGATAATAAATGCTTTTTTTTTTATATCAACAATTGATTTTTCTATAAAGCAATGGATGAAGACAATTTAATGATTAACAAAACGTTTAATAAATCGGGTAATTATTTTGTCTCCATTTTTATCGATTTTTTATAGTTTCATTATAGTAAAAATACCATTATAACAGGAATTAATAAATTCACCAAAAAACGTTGTCTAAGAATAGATATTCGAAAAGAAATAAAAAGATATAATACCCGAAATAGAAATGTTATGATCGAAGCTTCCGTTTCTATAATTAGTTGACGTCTTTCCCAAAATTGCACTTTAATAATTAAATACACCTTAAATAGTGTTTATTAAATTGTATTATGGAGGTATGGAACATGAATTACCAGGTGTGTAAAAAAGGTGCACATTTGTTGATTGTTTTAAAAATAGAAATTATTTTAAGTAAAATATAACCTGTTGAGTTGGGTTTATAAACCATCGTTTTATTTTTTTTTCTTTTATTTTTGTATAACACAATATAAACTATAAATTATGGTTATTTTAATTACAAAAACAAAGTAAGATATTTCAAAGCAAAAAAAAAGTTAAAAATTGTGTACAAATATTTTTTAAAACGATACTTAGAAAAAAACGTTTTCGAAGACAGTTCATTTATTGGTACAATTTCCCGTAAATCCACATAAAAAGCGTTTATTATACCATCAATTTTTCTACCCAATACATTTTATCACTTCGAACTATATTGTCATAATAAAATAAACTATTTAATAATTAGAGTCACAATAAAAAAAAATCACGACGGTTTAAAAAAAACAAAATTTTTACTTTTTTACAATTTTTTTCCACAACTTTCCCGAATTTTTCAGCCAATGGTCTTCCCACATTTTTTTCTTCGATGCAAAGAATTAAAAAAATTGTTTTTAGCAACTGAAAACCCCAAACGGATGGAGTCTTATCCTTCACACAATTTAGAGGAGTTACTTCCACTGATACACACATTTGATGGCAAGAAGTTGCCACCCAAGCCAAACAAAATCGTTCGCCCTTGGAAAGATGAGGAGGATGCGATGTTACTTCGTGCTGTCGAAGAGTATGGAACTCGACGATGGCATTTAGTTGCTCTTAAAATCCCTTCGCGAACACGTAAGCAATGTCGTGAAAGGTATTGTAATCATTTAGACCCCGAAATCATAAAAAAGCCTTGGACGACGACAGAAGACCAAATCTTAAAAGAAGCAAAAGACGTTTATGGTAACAGGTGGACGCTCATAAAAACAAAGTTACCAGGTCGAACAGCAAATCAAGTCAAAAATAGGTATTTTGCAAAATTCTCGGACGTCAAGGAAAAACCAAAAATTAACGAGTTGAATTTTAGAAACGAAATTAACGAGCTAAAAAGTAGAACGTGTCAAAGCCCTTTTAAACCGGTCGAAACAAGTCTTTACAACGTCGTCTTTGGTGGCTCTGTTGTTCATTGACTATTCAACTCCGGCATGCGAGAAACTTTTAATCGATTTTTGTGGAGCATTATATTTGTTCGTTTGTGTCTGGAAGTGGACCTTCATTACTATTTTTTACTTATGTTTAATCTGTGGATTTAGTTTTTTTTTTCTTTTTATTTTTGAGAATTATGTGGTTGGTTTTTTAATTTTGTATATAGTTAATTATATTTATTTAAAGATAATAGAGAATGACCATTTCTGCTTTTTTTTGTTTAGTTACAAATAAAACTATTACATATTGAATTCTTAATTTAAAAATATAAAACTACAAAAGATATTGAATAGTACTATTTATATACTATATTTATTAATAAACTAAGTTATTGATATACTTCTTTTTTTTTCTGATTTTAATTAATAAAATATCAAATAAAAATGTTTGATTAAAACAAATAAAAAAAATAGTAATTATTTATTATATTATAATATCTCTTATAATTAATATCCAAATTTTATTATAATGAAACTATATTATAGTAATAAAAGTATTTATTACATTAATGGTATAAAAAACTTAAATACGATAGATAGAACATTTTCATACGAAAATCAGTCAAAATCAATTAAAACGTCTTAATTTTTTTAATTCTCTTTTTCTTCTTTGCGTCTTCTTTCATCTCTTTTGTCATTGGTTTTTTCGAGTCACTTTTTCCTTGAACCTTTTTCTCTCGAATAGCTTTTTTTCGTTCCACATTTTTCAACTGTTTTTCCACACGATAAGAATTTGATTTCTTCTCATCTTTTTGTTCTTCTTTTTTCACATGTTCTGTGTGATTTTCTTTGACTTCTTTTTCTTCTTCATTTTCTTCTTCTTCCATTTTGTTATTTCCCGGGTAGTCTGCGTCTGTTTTAAAATAGTACCACCCTTGTCCATCTTCTTCGAGTGAAGAGACGTCCGACACGTTTTCGTCAATTCCAAGCTCATCGATGATCTTTTTCTCGATATCCTCATCCGATGAAATTTCGTCCAACCCTAACTCTTTCAACTCGTCTTCCAACCCGTCCAACTCTTTATCGACATTAGTTTTCCCTTCAAAGTTGTCGATATCATCTACTTGCTCTTTGATATCTTCCAAAGTCTTTTCTTTCAAATAGTGGTCCAAAAGACGTTGTAATTGGTCTTTTGTTTTTTGAAGGTAATTCAATTTGACGTCACGGAACATCTTTGTCGTGTCGGTGCCATATTCGTTGTACAAATCGCGAATATATAAATATGTTTCAAGTAACATCGTGCGCGCTTTCGCTGGTTCTACCTCCGGTGCAAATCGTGAAATCGTGGTCGTGTTCTTAAGAGGATAAGACATCCTTTGCTTTTCAATTGATTTAGGGTTTCTCTAAAACTCCTTCGTCATTTTCTGTGTTTTTTTTTTGTCAAACTATAAAGTTTAGTTGTATCACAAGTAGTAGTAATCTTATCTATTACGATTTTTTAATTTTGTTTTTATATGAGATTTCTAGTGCTGATCATTTTTGAAGTGCGTTTTAATCACATAATAAGAAGTGAAAAAACACGTTAAATGGTTTAAAACGATAATTAAAACTCTTTTTAATTTTTAATTCATTCAATTTAACTATCGGATTTCATTTATTACCACAAGTTTTATATCTAAGAAAAAAATATAAAACGATAATTAACATTGTAATATAAATAAACTAATAAATCATCAGACTTTTAAACTAACACAATTTAATTCTTATACTATATTAATAATACTTGAAATATCTTAAACAAACTTCATATTAAATGTTATTTAAAATAACTAAAATATTAGCAGAATCAATTTTCCGAAGTGATCCAGTTCAAGTAACTATTGTAGTATTGCATAAGTGCTTGCCAGAAGGTTTGCTGTTCATTAAAACACTCGTTGTGAATTTGAGTGACATTCATCAGAGTAGTGTCATCAATCCCTTTTTCTACACACTTTTCAGCAAAAGACTCAATCCCATTGGGTTGATTGTCAAAACAATTTCCAAGTGTTGCTGCTTTAATATTCATCGCACACAATTGCGCGGCTCCTACTTCTATTTGGTAAGACATGGATTTTTTTCGTTGTCACTTTCTTTCTCACTTTCTTTTTATTTATAATACTTCTTAATATAATATACCAAATTTTTATAGTATTTTTATTGGTATTTTTATTATTTTTATGTTTATCAATACAATGGTTTCATTAAAGTTATTTTTATTATTAGTATATTATAAATAATTTCTTTATTTATTATTCAAAGAAATTAACAAGACATTTTTAATTTACAAATTTAAGTTTGAAATTAACATATTTTTTAAATTAACATATTTCAGTTTAAAATTAACGAGCACTTTTTAATCGCTTTGAGTCAAACTTATAAAATCCACTAAAGTGAGGCGAGAAACCCACACCTGGAGAAAAACCCGCACCTTTTTTCTTTTTTCTTCCTTAAACCAATATTAATTGAAAAAACGTACACTTACAATTTTAACATAAAAAAGTTGTTTCTATAATTCAAAAATAAAAATGATAATGTCATGGACTAAAATTTAACACGCTGTTTATTAATTAATAATTATAATTAAAAAATACTTGTTTTAATACATAAAAAGTTTTATTGATTATATAAATAAGTTATATAAATTATATATTTATATAGTTTTTTTTAATAATAAAAACAAGTATTGAAAGTTTATTTCTTGTACATTTTAAAAAGATTAAACTTAACCTTAAATTATAAATATTTTATCAAATTAATTATTATTAGTTATAGTTAAATAAACTATTAATTTGTTGTATAATAATAAATTAAACGATGTAATTAACTTTACGTTTCATGTTTCGATAACGTTGATACTCACATTAAGAGGTCTTTTGCGTTTCCTAAACACAACGCTTAACACATACAATGCATAATAGATTGTACTACAACAGAGAAGTATAGATATTTTTTTTCGCGTTGAACAAATAAATATATATCCTAACAGGTCAGTTTAATAATCAATGAAAATCAACACAAAATTTCACAATAAACAAACCTTATATATTGATAAACTCTACTTGTTATATGTTATAAGTTCTAAACTTTGTGTTAATAAATATCCGAACCCAACATACAATGACAAACCAAAAGTTCAAAAACAAGATATGTAATATTACAACTTGTTTGAATATTAAAACATCCGCTGTTTCAAGTACTGTTGGTAAGTTATATTTATTTAACAACAGTTTCACAAACCATAAAAGGTGTTTTGAACATGACAGACGACTTAAGTAATCATATGAAATGTCTTTTTTAGTTTTCAATAACTATGAAATAATATAATTGTTCCATTTCTATTGATTACGATTTCTATTTTAAGTGGTGAGCATTTTAAACAATCTTGTAATTTTCTATTTTTAATTCAATATAAAACTTATTAATTTGGGTTTTTTAATTCTTTTTTGGTAATCGTTAAAATAAATCACAAAATAGTATTTGATTTACATGTTTAATAAAGAATTAAAAATATATTAAAATTTAAGTAAACAAACGACAAGTTATACTTCAATTGAAACTTCTTCGCAAATTTCATCGCCTTCTTCACTGCTTTCGGACGATAGATCGCAGTCTAAAGCATCAACAACTTTTCTTCTTCCTTTAAATACACTCTTTTCTCTGACGACATCCAATCCGAATTCTCCCATGATAAGTGGTGATCTTTCAGGAAAAAATTTAACCCTTATTTGGTTACCGACACCACGTTTTTTCTTTTGTGTGTAGAAAAAACCACATCTTCTAAAAGCACCGTTAATCGTTAAACCAGATGTTGCTCTATCCCATGAGGCATAAATAGAAACAATTTGTTTGGATAATGGTGACATAGCAAAATCTTCCAACTCACCTCTTGTTAGAGTGCCTTGATAAAGTGTCCTAATGATTTCCTTTTTCTTTCCTCTGGCTTTATCGGCATTTTCTAGCCCTAGTACCTCCAACACTTCTTCAACTGATTCTCTTGTAAGAATTTCTTTCTCCTTATCTTTATATGGTATTTTCATTAGTTTCTTTGTATTAGTTATATAATTTTATTTTTATATAAATTATTATTTAATTGTTATATTTTTATTATTAATAATAATAACAAACCTTTGTTGGGCCGAATATAGCAACGTCAAGAGGTTGTGTTAAATGAAAAGAATGTGGGCACAATTTTAACACGGCTATTTTGTTATCTTTGAAAAGTTTAAGAGCCTCATTAGTTAAATGGCACTTCAACCCATCCATTACAATCACCGCCCACTCGTTACGCAACTCTGGAGTTGAACGCCTGTTTTTCAAGTCTGGTAATAACACTTTTGTTATCCAATATATAAATATTGAAGATGTCATAAATGCTGTTTTCTGATAGACTATAACAATATCCCGGAAAAGTAAATACTCTTCCAAGTCGTTGTTTACAGTGTGTCTTGTAACAATAAAAAATGTTTTTGTTTTGGTGTTGTTGGCCCATATCCCAGCCACAAGAGTTATACGTTTAACACTTCTGTTGACTGAGTAATATTGGTCATGTGGAAGGTTCGGGTTGCAGTAACAGTATGTTTTCTTAGAATCAACATAAGGTATGAACCCACTTTCATCGACGTTAAGAAGCAGAGCAGGGTCAACTCCTGCCAAACGCACTGTGGTTCCACAATACTGTCTGTCGTTGTTAAGCATTATTTTTCCGTCTTCTATGTATTTGTTTAACTCTTCGTGATCAATTTCAGCTCTCATTTTATCAAGTGGATTTACTACAACTGGTTTAATATTTGTGTTGTGCCTCAACCAGTCCATAGTTTTTTAGGACTAAGTGGATTCCCTACAGCTTCTTCAACAATCATTTTTACGTTGTTTGAAAACAATGGTTTTCTGGTGTTTTGTTTATATTCTATAAGTTGTATTACCCGAGCCTTTCGAATTTCATTCAAAAGTGGGGGTCTTCCTGGATGAGCAACAGATGGTTTTTTGTATAAAGCCTTGCACGTGTTGTAGTTTGCATTTAGTACTTTGTAAATAGAAGCAAGTGAGGCCGTGGGACATTTCTCCTTTATAAAGTGCAATTGCTCCCATAAACCTGGGAGCTCTTTGATTGTATCTTCGTTTTGACTACAAAACGAAATAAGTTGAGCATCTTTGAGTGGTGCATTTAATAAGTTCAGTGTTTTCTCCGCTTTTGAGCGTTCACACATTGTTTTTAGTTTTCAGTTTTGTTTTTTTTTACCATTTGGTTTATAAAACTCAAAAAATACAAAGATGAATTTACGATCTATGGCGTTATCAATAAATAAAACGAATATCCATTATTCTCTCCTAACAATTAACAACTGTTTAATATTATCACTCCTTGTTTGTAATGAAAAATGCGAATAAAAAATATGCTCCAAAAAACATAAATCTAAAACCGTTTTTTGTTTATATATACATATGTTGCAAATATTGATATTAACCGGCCGACACAGACACCTCTGTGCCGGCAACAAGGACATGGTTCGTTTTTACGAACCATTTCATTCCCCCTTTCTAAAAATAAACAAAACAATCACTTAAATAGAACACATGACGATCCAAAATTTCGATATTTTTTTTCTTTTAAAAGAAAAAAACACTTCTTTCGTTCGAAGACCCAATTGACTGATAATATTTATTTCAGATCAATAAAACACAGAAAAAGAAAAATAATGGGTGCCAGTGTTAATTTAATGGTTTATAATATGGTTAATAAAACAATTCGAATAGTAAAAGTTAAATAATAAAAACAAATTATAAATAATTATAATAATATGATAAAAAAAGAAAAAGTAGCCACAAAATAACCATATTATATTATAAATATAAAACCATACAAGTCTAAGTGCTTTAAACGAATGCGTGTACTTGGAAAGCCGTCGGTGTTCATTAAATGCGTTATCTGAGCAAAAGGCGTTGTTATGAATTGATTTCTGGTTGTCTCGAAAATAATAATCAATTCTCGCGAATATTACCAAAACAAATAATTATTTTCTTACAAATAATTGAACATAAAGCAAAAAGTAAGTCGACTAATTGTATAGTAACTTTATTATTATTTTTGAGAATGATTTTTTGTTGATTTTAAATAGATTACTTAAATAGTTAAATTTACTATTAAAATAATGTATTTAATCATTGATAAACTATATTGTAAAACTATAATTTTGTACCCGATTTAATTTTCAAATGCATCAAACGAAATTATTGTTTGACAAAAAAAAATAAAAATCACAATAAAAACACCAAAAAGTCGGGAAAAGATGAACAAAAAAAAGAAATAACACAAGAAGAAAAATAATACAACATAAAAAGAGTTCATTTTAATGATAAAAAATTTGTATTAAAATAAGAAAATTGTTTCATGATTGGTAAAACTATGTGGCAAATTGCCGAGATTTCGAAATTTGGTTTGTTTTTACGAACCATGTCCTTGTCGGCCGGTTAATGGTTGCAATACACGTGATAGAAAACATCTGTCAGTTGCTTATAAATCAAGAAAATCATGAATAACAAAGATACACACCATCATTTTTGGATTGATAAAAAAAGATTTGTCTCAAAAAAAGTAAATCTTCGAATATTTTTGCTATTTTTTACTATATTATAGAATTTGTCTTGAAAAAAATGAAGCTATTATTAGAAATTGGGTTTTATTAAACAATTAAAAGTTAAAATTTATAGTTTATATCAGTAAACCATTAAAATAGTTTGTGTTATAGAATTAAATATATTTCAATAAACTCATTTAAAACCTGTTTAATAATACTTAAAAATTATGTAAAAATGTGGGTGGTTATTTTATTTTGTGATTTATTTCAAATCAAACTTGAATCATTTTCTATTTTTGAATAAAAAATACAAAAAAGAAGAAAAATTAACAATAATGATCCGACTTTTCTATTTTTTCGTGTTCTGGAAGTAAAAAAATACAACAATTGTGATAAAAGAAGTAATTAGAAAAAAGGTGCGGGTTTTTCTCCAGGTGTGGGTTTCTCGCCTCACTTTAATAGTTTTCTCGACTATGTTCCATCGGAAGAAACACTCGAACGTTCCTTTATCCGCAGTGATCAAGCCTTTTGAACGGAGTCCATCTCCCAAATCCCCATCTCCATACACTCACCCGTCACCCCATGTCACCACAACTCAAAAGCACCCACATCGGTCCAAGAGTGATGTTACAGCCCATCCAAAGTCCTGCACATTTCCCCGTCTCAACGTGACGACACACCAAACTCCACCAAAGCAATTTGAATCTTCGAATGGCGTTCTCAATGACGTTCTGAAAGGGTACTCAACCTCCCCATTCCTCGATAACTCCAACTTCCAGCTCGTCCGGAGACAGTCGTTGAACAACATCGAAGAGGAGGAATTGAACTTTCCGCTCTTCGAATTCTCTGAGGACACATCTCCCTCTCTCGACGACGACGGGGCCTTTCGCATCGAATTCGTTCCCACCAGAATTCAAGGTTATGTCATGGCTCAAAAGGAACTCCTCTCTAAAAAGCACCAACTCAATACTGAAATCGACAAACTTCAATCTGAAATCGACTCCTTGCTCAACGAAATTAACTTGGAAAAACTCTCCACAAATAGCCACAGCGATGACACTGAGGACTTGCCGGAAATTTAAATGTTGTCGGGCTGTTTGTATTATTCTCTTCATTACTATATGAAACTTATTCAAACTAATTCCACTTTAATCGTTGGTTATAACGGACGTTTTGTGCGCAAGTCAGTTACACAGATTGAACACACCAGATTTGATCTGTTTGTGAGTCTTTTCTCATCACAACTGTGTTTTCAAAGAGTTTAAATAATAATATAAATTATATTATAATTATATTATAATTTTTATTATAATTAATAAAAAACAAACCATGCCTTCTGCTTTTTTAATGTCATTCTTCTGAGATGCTCTGAAACACAACTTTGAAGTGGCGTTCACGTAAATGCAGGGTGGTTCGAAAGGGCGTGGTATGTGACTGAAAAGGTCGTTCAGTGTTTTGTTATAGATGTCCTGTCCAAATCTTCCTCTCAAGAGTTTGATGAAGTGGGGGAGGACATCTTTGTGGAGAGAAGACAACTTCTCTTTGAAGGAGATGTCCGCAAAGACTGAACTTCTCACCATGAAAGTTCTGAGCGTTTGGATCTCGTCGACGACACTTAATGACGGGTACCGATCCAATAAATCGTATGGGATAAGGACTCTGTCTTTACAATTGCCATAGAACATCCCAAAGACATTCCCCTTTTCATTCACGATCAGTATGTCCTTTGATTTGTCTTCTTCGACGGGGACAAACACCTTCTCGTTCTTTTTCTCTGTCGGACGTTTCTAGTGGTCAGACTTAATAGTATTATTATTAGTAATGTATAACAAACCACTTCAGACGAGAGAATACTCAAAAAGCTATTCTCAATACGGTGCTTGTTGACAAACGCAGTGAGGGTTTGGATGTCGAAGATTAAATCGGACCCTATAATAAAGACGTTTTGATACGTCAGTATCTTCTCTCGGTTTTCCTCTTTGTATCTGTCGATCGCCTCTGCGTCTTCGTACACCAATACGTTCACTTTTACCCTCGTTGTGAACTTCTCAAGTCCCGCCTTGATTGGTATCTCGTGGGTCTTCCCCACGACAATGTCAACAGACTCCACCTCTGCTTTTTCGAGAACTTCGAGCTGCCATTGGATGATTGACTTCTCGCCTATCATCGTTAAACACTTTGGAGGCTTGTCAGCGCTGTCGAACTTTGCTGTGTTGCACTTCTCGATGAAGACGAAGAGGAACTCTCCCTTGAAGTGTTGTGTAAACGACGAGATTGGGTAGTCGCTCATTTTTTCTAAATGAACTTTCTAGTCCTTCGCCATGGTTGTAAATTAAACTAATTATAAACTATAATTGAATTATTATGCGCTTCGTTATAGTTTAGACATCCAAAACCACTCATTGCTGCTTTTCAACGTACTCGCTCCACTCTTTAATCCTCTTCTCTTTCTGCTCTTTCGACTCTTCTATTTTATAATTTGTGAACCCGTCATAGTATTCACACGTTAGCTGTCTCTGATCAAACCATCTTCCGTTCATCAGTTTAATGCACTTCTCCGCGACATCGTTTGTGTAAAATTTAAGCATAACAACCCCTTGAGGATTTGTGCTGAAGACGATAACCCGATCAACAGGCCCACAACTCTTCCTTACCTCGCTCTTGATGTCGTTCTTCAGGTCGTCGAAGAAGCTTTGTGGCTTCTCCGTGGTGAGGTCGAACATGTTTTTGATAATGACGTGGACAATTTTTGAGTCGTCCCATTCGTCCTCTCTCTTCTGGTCGTACTGTTCTTTCCCTGTGTCTTGCACGCTGAAAAGTCCACTGATTCCAATCTTGCAATCTCGTGTAATCTCACTTTCGTCATAAAACTCAATAGCTTTCTGTGCAGATTCTTCGTGAAGGAAATAAAGGTTCCATTCGTTCGAATTCTCGCACTCCTTGACTTTTGTGATATCAAATTCGTCGGGACTGATTTTTTTTATGATTCCACAATGTCGGAAATATGACGCAAGATCCGATGACGTCATAGTTTTCGGCACATTTGTTACATAAATGCCATTCATCACCTCTTTCGTTTTGTTTACTATAGTCTCTTTTTTATTTGTTGTATTTTTTGAATTTGTTTTACGTGTTTTGTTAATTCTCACATTTCGTTTTGGTTGTTTTATGTCTTGTGGTTGCTTTATCTTTTTTGAGTCCATTTCATATCCAAGTTTTTCTTTTTTGACTCCATCTTATAGTTAGTTGTACTATAATTTACTTTCATCCAAAACTATCCACAATAATAATGAAAACTATAAAGAACCATTTATTTAACCATTTTTCTCAATACCTTTTGAATTTCATTGAACTACATTTTAATCCTATAATATACTAATAAAAGAAAAGAAAGTAATAACACAATCAGACGTTAAACCACATCATGTCCACCTCACCCTTGGATAACAATCCCGATTTAATAGCCAAATATTATGCCAACATTCCTTTCAGTTAACCTCAAACTTTTTCAGATATAAAGAGATGTGAACTTGATACAAAAATACCAAAGAAAATGGAGAATTGTGGCATCACTAAAAAGCAGATTCACGATCTTCGTCTATTTGTTGAATTTCTCAAGCAGAATCCCCAACAATTACAAAATCCCGAGTTAGATTTTTTGAAAGCATATATTGAGTCCTTTGGTGGTGTTGTCCCAAAATCCGAAGACATTCCCAAGCCAACCAAAATGGAAGAAGAAGAAGTAAAACACGAAGAACCACCAAAAGAAGAACCCAAACATGAAGAAATTAAAATTGAAGATCCTGATCTTGTTGAGCCCGATGTTTTAACTCCAGAGACACTTCCTTTAGACAAAGAAGTCACTGAAGACCAAGAAGTCTTTGCCATGACCAAACGGGGTGAAGCAAATGAAGCTTCCAACACGGGGGATCTTGAGAAAGCCGTTTCTTTAATCACCGAAGCCATTCTAGCCAACCCCCATGTCGCAAACTTCTTTGCCATTCGTGCCCAATACTATAATAAGCTCAGAAAGCCCAACGCGGCAATACGAGATTGCACCACCGCCATCAAGTTAAATCCAGACAATGCAAAGGCTTATAAGATGCGTGGACAAGCTTATCGACTCATCGGAGAGTATGAAAAATCAGTTCAAGACCTTCACCTCGGCAATCGTCTTGACTTCGATGAGAACACTTATGAGTTACAGAAGACCGTCGAGAAGTTCGTCGCTCTCAAAGAAAAAGCAACTCATTCACAAAAGCCCGCTCCCAAACAAGAGAAGAAGCCGGACGAGAAGCCACAAAGACCAGCTGGTTGTGATGGAAAAGGTGGATGTGGTTGTGGTCATACCTGTGGTGGATGCAAAGCTGGTGGATGTGGATGTAACAATACCAACAGTTATACTCAACCAAACTTCCAATGGACTCCAAAGGCAGACGCAACCTCTAACGCCGCTCCAAACATGGGAGGAATGCCTGGAATGGATGCTAATTCAATGTTCGCAGATCTCGCCAAAGATCCAGAGTTAATGCAAGCCCTCCAAGACCCAGACGTCTTACAAAAAGTCCAAGCCGCCATGGCAAACCCCGCAATGATGATGTCTTTAATGTCCGACCCCAAAGTCGGCCCGGTGATGACAAAGTTGATGCAGAAATTCGGCCAGAAATAATTCATTTCGCTTTCTCTTCCACTTTGAATTTCATCAGAGAGAACACAACACCATTAAAAACACTTCTCTTACAATTTTTTGAACCTCAGAATATTAATTAATAGTTATTAATTAATATTCTTGAGTAATAACTCTTCAATACATATTAATAGTATATCATAGTATAATATACTATTTAAAAGTGTTCCACTCGTCACAGAAAGTACTGATCAATGTACTTCGTTATGCTCTCCTCGATCTTCTCCGAAAACGTCTCGCCGCTCAGAAACAGATCTTCTGTGAATTTGAGTGTTACTGACTTCGCAAGTTGCTTGAATTGTTCTTTGTTTGGTATAATCCGGTTATCGTAATACGCTTGTAACTTCGCTACAACAGATTTACACACAGTCGTTTTGACTCGACTGTATTCCAGTGATTCTCTTCGCATCATTTCCTTCTTCTGACTCGAATACAGCCCAACCAACGGGTCATATGGCCCATCATAACTGTCATACCCATGTGTCTTCTCAAATTTGAAATTGACGCCTCTCTCGACTTCGGTCCACTCTCGTTCTCTGAAATTTGGGCTATTCCCGACTCTCTCCTCTCTCCCGCTTCTATAATTTTGTCTGTTGTCTTGTCCAAGTTGAATGGGGTGCGCACTTGGATTAAACTGCGCGTCTCTCTTGAGTTGTCCCAAATTGTCTTGTTGCAAAGGAATTGGTTGTCCCCCAACAGTTGCTATTGTGTTAGTCGTTGGTGCGGGTTGATACTCAAATTGTTGAGTGGGGAGTGCAGTACAATTCATCATGGGATTCACAACGGCATATGGCAAAGTAGTACCTACCATCCCACTTTGAGGCTGTTGTGAAGGGACTTGTTGAGGACTACTCTCCTCTTCCATCGGTTTCATAACAGTTAGACTTGTTTCAATGTGTTCGACACTTTGAATCGGTGGAATCCCTTTCTTTTTCTGAAGACGTGGGCGCTCCTTCTTTGGCTCTTTCTTCTCTTCTTTCATTACAAAAGACTCTTCCGTTCTGTCGTCATCTTCTTCTTCGTCGTGTTGGTGAAGATCGTCTAACTCAGTGTCTTCGGATATTTTGTTGAGTGCGGCGTATGTGCGTGATCGTGTGTTCTTTGCAATTGGTTCGTCTTCAGTCACATCGATCTGTTCTTCTACTGTCACACTCAACTCTTCTATCTCGGTTTCTGTATCACTTCTTTCCGCCATAGTTTGTTTGATTAATTTAGTTCTGTCATTTTTCATTTCTCTCTGAGATTTGGAAGATTTTGTTCCTTTGATTTTTACTATGTTTTGAAGTTATTTTTAATTGTTTTATAGTTCATTTATTTTTGATAATATACTTAATTATATAATATAAATTTTATTAAATAATTATAATAAAAGTGTAATTAAAAAATTTATTATTAAAATTGTTCATTTATACTATTAATTGATTGTTATTTTATTGTTATGATTAATAATAATTTTGTTATTAAAATAATTATTTATAATTAAAAAAAAACAAAAACATTTTCTGAAAGTTTGCCCATTTTTTTTAATACGTTTTTAATTTGGAAAAATAAATATTTTATTGTTATATTATAATTTATTTTTTTTACGAAAGTAATGATAAAGATATAAAACAAATAAAATAAATTTAAACTACTGTTATATTATAATTAAATTATAATTTATAGTATAGAGGTTTGAATTGTGTTAATTAGACACAAAGGAATGAACACCAATTGTTGTTAACATGAAAAACAAATGTTGAGTTAGTATCCAGCAAAAAGACGGAATAAAGGTATGCTAATAAAAAACAATAAACAAATTAATAATTAATAATAATAATTTGTTATTAAAAAATTATTTTTTGAAATTAGAAGTGTTGAAAATTAGAAATTTAATGATTATTTCTTTATATATAGACTTTTTCCACTCAATCCAGTACAACTATAGTGTACTAGAAAAATATAGTTTTTCTAATCACTTCTCAAATTAAAACGAAATAGTAATGATTATAGTACTTTTATTAAAAAGTATGCATTTATTTATGGATTAATTTGACTCAATTGCAGTCTCCAAAGATTCCACTCCTCTAATTAAAAAGAACTATTAAAGAGTTAATAAACAAATAAAGAACATTCACCTTACTCGGCCTTTTCTGTGGAAACCTTTTTCTCTGATGATTTCGAATCCTTTGATGATTTTGAGGAATTGGACTTTGACTTCGAACCCGATGACGTGGATCCACTTTTGTCACTACTTTTACTTTCGCTAGTGCCTTCTTTGTCTTCCTTGACTTCTTCTGCTGGTTTCACTTCTTCTTTTAATTCTTCTTTAGGTTCTTCTTTAATGTCTTCTTTCGTCTGTTCTTCTTTGACTTCAACCTTTGAGGCTGTTGGGACCTCTTCAACCTTTTCAGTTAAGTTTTCTTCTTCTTTGTGTTCTTTCTCTTCGACTTTCTCTTCATTTTTCTCTTCAACAGGTTCGGCTTTCGGTGACTCAACAGGAGGAACGACTTCTTCTTTGTGTTCTTCGACTTTGGGTTCCTCAACTTTTGCCACGTCTTCGTTGGTCTCTTGAGGCTCTTTGACTTCTTCTTTGGGGGATTCCTCTTCTTTCTTCTCTTCAGTCTTGTTCTCTTCTTCTTTGGTTTCTTGGACCTCCTCTTTATGTTCTTCCTCTTTTGGTGCGACTTTTTCGTCTTCTCCTTTTGCCGGTTCGTCAATCTTCTTGTCAGATTTTTTGTCTGAACTTTTACTTGAAGAATGACTTTTCTTCTCACTTGAATCTCCTTCGTTTTTGGTATCTGAGATTTGACTCGTTGACTCATCTACTGGTTTTTCTTGTTTAGACTCTAGTGAGACTTGAACTCCCTCTTTGTTTTTATTTGGTTTATCCTCTTCTTTTTTGGGTTGTGGCTCCTCTTTATTCTCAACGGGCTTGTCATTAGTTTTTGGTTTGTCATTCGCATCAACAAGATCGTGAGCACTTTCTTTCTTACAACAGAACATTTGCAATCACAGTTCTCATTTTCAGACTCAACAACTCACTTGACAACGTCTCACTTTTTTTCTTGCATTTTTTCTCTTCGTTTTTGGTTCGTATTCATTTGTTTTACTATATTTTATCATTTCTATTTAGTATTGTTTAGCTTATCATCTCACTTTTTCTTATCTTTGTTTGTTTTTTTCTCTAAACACAACAATTGCAAGTGAATAATATACTTATTCTATATATTTATTATAATTGTTTTTACAATTAATTTATCAAATCATGTTGAAACTAAAAACTTGCAAAAAATATCGGTTTTGTTCCTGTTTCAATTTCTTACTCGATTTGCCTTGTTTGGCCTAAAGGGTTATCAACCACCTTTTTTTATCATTTAATCATTTTTTTTATCCAATTAAGTTATATTGTTTGAATTCCGACTAAGAATACCATCATCAGTTTCTTTAAACAGAACCATTTTTACTATATTATAGTTAATTTAAACTATATAAAAACTAGTGCAGTACATTTAACTTATTTAAATTAAAATAGATTTATTTTGAAACATTTATATATTCTCAGTTTAATTATAATTATTAAATTATAATTAATTATTTAATTTATTTATTAATATTAAGATTTTTTGAACTATATTTATATTTAATGAAATTATAATTATAATGAAATTCGTTTCCTCGATAAGTTCAAAGGTCTTTGAAAAGAACAATTCATTTATTCCAACCATTATTCCTTTTTGATTTAAAAAATGAATAAAAACACTCAAATTTGTATGATTTTATTCATTTTTTAAATCAAAAAGGAATATGACTTCAACAATAAGACCTTTATTTCTAGTATTTTACAAAAATATATTCAAAATAGCATATTAATAGTTTCATATTATAAATACAAATATAATAGTAAAGAACTATTTTGTGATTATTTTCTAATTGTTATTAATTACATAGTTAAAACTTTATCAGTAATAATATTTCCACACATGATATAAAACAACTATTAATTAATAGTATAAATATTAAAACAATTTAGTTAAATAAGTAAGTCTTTTCTAACAACTCGATTTTTCTTGGGCACTTTTTCTTGAGTTTGTTTTGGGGAGTCTATTCCTGGTCTTGGCGAATCGGAGAGAATTGTTTTAATTTCGTCTCCATTGATCACAAATTGTTCTGTAGTGTTAATTTTTGTCGCCACAATTTCTTCCAAACTTTTCACGATGTCGCCCATTGAACTTCTTTCCTCAAGATTCATACACCAAGCCTTTTCAATAACAGAGTATAATATCTTAGACATTCCTTCCCTATATGGCGGGCGATTTCCTTTAAACACAAAATCAGCGATCATCCAAGGGAATGCAAATTCTTCAGATGGGAAAGCCTCTCCCCAAACGTCTATTTCAAACATTGTAATAGCAAAGGAGTATACATCTGCTCCATATCCATACTTGATACCTTGTAAGACCTCAGGCGCCATATAAATAGGTGTTCCGATGCCTTTTGTGAACGTCTTATTTTGAGTGAATGCGTTGATATTTCGACTTGACCCAAAATCCGTCAGTTTAGCGTTAGTCTTCTCGTTTGGGACCAAAGAGAACACAAGGATATTATCAGGCTTGATATCTCTGTGTAACACTTCGTTATTGTGTAAGTACTCAATGCCCTTAGAAGCATCTAATAAGAGTTTATACCGTATTGAATATGCTTCACTCGCCTTCGTATTAACATCTTTAAGGGACTGTAAAGACCCATACTGTGCAAATTCAGTGACCATACAGATCTTATTTGGTATAACTACAGCTCCATAGAAGTGGACGATATATGGACTTCGGAATTTGTCTAACATCGACACTTCGAGTTTAAACTCGTCAAGAGAATCATCGCCGGGGCGTTGTATCATTTTCTTGATTGCTACTGTGTTTGTTCTATATATACCACGATACACTACACCAAAAGAACCTTCACCAATCTTCTTCTCTTCTTTTAACTCGTCGTAATCTATCATAGTCGACCAATCAGTCTCTACTGATACTCGAAGAGCACCTTCTGATACTTTTCCTTTATGTAAGTCTAACACAGAGAAGATAATGTCGTCATTGATTTTGCACGTACAAGCCGGTGTTAAATATAACTTGAATTCACACGCCATTCCTTTGTGTAATGTCACCATTGAAGGCTCTGTTCTAAGATAATATTTTGATGATGGGAGACTCTCTTTTGTTGTGAATTGTACTTTGATTGTATGTTCGCTTATATTCCCTATGTAAAACGTCTCTTCATTCTCTTTGCCTACAGGAATGTTCTCTTCGTCGTAATTTAACACGTCTCTGTCACACACTATAGTCGCAATAGAGTTTGTAAATTGAATGTCTGAATATCTCATCTTGAATATCACTTTACCCACATTCGCTTCTTTTTCTCGCTGCTTGAAACGGAAGACTATTATTAAGGTAACTACTACAGCTACTAGTAATATCACTATAACGGCTACACCAAATACAATAGGGATCGTTGCTAATTCTACACTCTTTTGCTCACATGACATCCGGTCTTTTGAGAGACTGTAATACCCTGCACATCCAGTACATGTCGAATTAAACGCACCTTCACATTGACTCACTGTTGTATATGAAATGCATCCAAATTCGGAATTAAATGTACTTCGAATATACCCAGGACTACATGTAACACACTCAGTTGCACCACTCCCTTTACATGAGTCACAATTTTCAGTACACTTGTTGCACTCGGAGAAGAAAAGGTAGTATCCAGTGTCACATTGTATACACCCACGCGATGTCTTGTTTACACAATTTGTTAATGTGTCAAGTGGAACACAAAAGTCCATGTGGTCACTCTTAAAATAGTCTGCAATACACGTGTTACAGGATTTATATGTGCTACACGTTTCACATGATGTATCACAATCTTTGCATGAAATGCCCTCCCGGTAATAATGCGGTTTACACTCATAACACCCATCTCCACTCGTTAAAAAGTGTTTGCAAGAATTGTCCTCACCTATCTTTATACACTCACCTTCACTTTTGTAGTACCCTTCATTACACGAAAAACACACTGTCTCATTTGAACACGTCTCACACATAGAAGGACATTTCACACATGCAGCGCCACTTAAATAAGTTCCTCTTTCACAACGCATACACCCACTCCCCCCTTCACGTACACAATTTTCGATGGATACTATTCTACTATTATCTTCTTCTTTTAAAGCTTTTAAAATGTTTGATTGGTTGATTTGTATTGAAGCATCCAATTTAGTGGTAGTGTCACATTGATTGTTTTGATACATCTTCCCATAGCACTCCAAACATCCATCTATAGTCTGATATTTGCACCCATTTGTCACAGCAGAACACGTTCCTGAGATGTCCAAGTAATACCCATCTTCACATACTACACATTTCATGTTAATTCCAACGGTTCGACAATTCTCAAATATGGAATTGATACATATTTCATTGTACCGAATTGTACCTTCTGGACATGTTAAAACGCCAAAGGAATCACATTGCAAGGCAAAGTTATCGCATGCACTACACATCCCTGAATGCAAAAAATATCCACTTTTACACGTTCGACATGTGGTGACACCTTTTGTCCCTCGAGAATATACAGCACAATAATCGTCTTGATCAGAACACACTTTTAACCCCAAAAAGTCGGTCAATACCTTTCCTTCGTCACATTCAAAGATTTCAGTACCCATTGTATCTGTGTTGTATATACACACTAAGCTACCTACACATTGTTCTACACCATGTAGTCCATTGTAATATCCAATTTCACTATTGTAACACTGTCCGTTTCTTGAATATAGACATCCCTCTGTTTCATCTACAATACACACTCCTTCACTTACACTTTTGTTGTCTTCACATACAAGACAAATATCACCATCTGTAGACACCTTTCCTTTCTCGCAATTTTCAATTATTCCACATGTCGATGTGAGGGAAACAACATCTTCACAATGTGAAGAACATACCGTATCTTGAGTTTGGATTGTGTCATCACAACTTAAAGAAATACACTGGCCTTGTTCTTGAACATATCCATCTCGACACTTTACACAGAAATTGTATGTTGCTGCAAGCTCACAATTTTCCATAATAAGTGCAGCACTTTCACACTGTTCTTTCTCGTTCTTGACATACCCTTCTTTGCAGTCTAGACACCCAGATGCGGCATCACCTTTACACCTCCCAGGTATACACGAATTAGGATTAGTTAAAGTGCAGACCCTACACTCTCCATTAGACAAATAATATCCACTGTTACACGACAAACACTCTGTGGAATTTGGAGAGCAATTGTTGGGCAGACAATGCATTGGATTTGAGTCGTCGCACTTTTTGCAGATGTGGTCCTCCAAGTACTCATCGTCGTTACACGAAGTGCAAACACCAGTAACACCATCACACAACTTACATGCATTTGTTGTACATGAAACGCACTCCCCATTGTTCATAAAGTACCCCAATGCACAATCATTGCACTTATCTTCTTCATAAAGTGAACATCGATTTTCTTTGCAATGAAGTACATTATCAGCGCCACATTTTAAGCACGTCTTAGAATGTTTGTAGTATCCATAATCACAAATGTAACAGTCTCCATTTGTTTTGTCACACAAGTAACACCCCTTATCTTTAGAACAATTGTTGCACAATGTGTCGACAAGGTAGTACCCTAAAGTGCACTCTTGACATACTTGATATTCCGACTGCGAACACAAATTTTGTGCACAATGCATGTTATTTTCTTTGTCACATGCAACACAGTAATACTCACTATTTGGAGAGTAATTGGGTTCACAGATGTCACACGGTTTGTTCTGTTGATCACAATTTAAACAATGAGACGATTCACAGGCTACACATGACCCATTCTTTAATGTATATCCCTCTGTACAGGATGTACAGATCCCGCTCCGTGAATCACAAGAAGTGCAATGCTTCGATAAACACGTTTCACACACTTTTCCAGCAGGGTAGAACGTTTCTGCACATTGTTGGCAACCATCACGATCCGAGTAACACTTCATACAATTCGCCTTTGTGCTACAATCCACACAAATCGCGTTTTCCAAGTAATACAACTCGTTAATACACTCATAACAAATGTCCGATGCACTACAACTGAGACATCCAGGCATCTTGTTACTACATGATAGACATTTCCCTTCAGACATATAACTCCCTTTAAGACATGAATTACACCAACCATTAATAGAATTACACTCCGAACAATTTTGTGAAGTACATGTCACACAATTTCCATCACTTGGATACATACCCAATCCACACTCAAAACATTTGTCTGTTTGGGGGTCGCATGTCACACAATTTGCTTTGTTTGAGCAGGGAGTACACGTTCCATTTATGTTGGAGTAATTACTGTCACAGACTATACAAGAACTTTGCGAATCACATTTTGCACAATTTGTATTACATTTAGAACACATTTTGTTGTCTAAATAATATCCATTAACACATGCTGAACACTCTCCAGTGGTTGAATCACACTCTTTACAATTCTTTGTTTCGCATAATGCACATCCAGTGATGTTTGGATAGTATCTATCAAAACATGTGGTGCATGTGTCACTATTTTTAGAACACACCATACAATGACTCTTTTCCGAACATTTGTGACATTCATTTTCTTTTAAATAAAACTCATCAAAACAAGATGTACAGACGGAAGTCGATGTACACTCGCCACAATTCGAAAGTGCTTTAGAACAGACTTGGCAATTACCAGTCTTATCTATGTAGTAACCAGATATACACGTAGTGCATATCCCACTTTGTGAATCACACTCTGTACAATGTTTAGAGGCACAACTTATACATCCCGATAGATAAGGGAAATACCCCTGTTTACAAACATCACACTTGTCTGATGTACGCGAACATGTGGCACACTCAGGCTTGAGCACACAACTCAAACATAATTCACCAGAAAGGTAATTCCCTTCAAGACAGTCATAACATCCACCCGTTGCGGAACACGTGTTACACCCTTTTGTGGAACAATTATAACACAACTTATTGTCTAAGTACTTCCCATCTTCACAAATGTAACACTCTTTTTGTGTTGGTGAGCACTTGAGACATCCGGTGATGGTCGAACAAGGAAGACAAGTCTGTGTGGTATCAAGTAGATACCCATCCTCACACTGTGAACACTTCCCATCTTTTGAACATGTTGCTGAAGTCCCATAACAGTGAATAGTCTTACATGGCTCACAATTGTTAATTGTCGAAGTTGTGAAATATCCATCGTAGCAGTCAGTGCACTTGTATGAAGATACAGAACACGTCTTACACCCCAAAGTGTTTTGTCTACAGTCTATACATTCAGTCCCATTTGGAGTAAATCCACCTTGACATGTATCACAGTTGTCAGATGTCGTTGAACATACAAAACACCCCAATTTCTCCTCACAAGAAACACATATATTGTCTTTCATAAAGTATCCACTGAGACATTCATTGCACTGATACTCCGTTTGTGAACACTTGGAACATCCAGTTATATTCCTGCAAAGTACACACTGATTATCTAATGTCATGGTGTAACCATAGTCACAAGAACCAACACAATACCCATCTTGTGTACACGACGCACAATGCTTTTCAGAACATGGAACACATTTGCCAGACTGTATATAATAATTTGAAGTACATAAAGAACATCTGCCAGTCGTCGAATCACAGACATTACAATTCTGTGAGGCACAAGAACTGCACCCTTTACCATTTGGATAGTAATCTTTATCACATACATTGCATTGGTTTGATGTAAGAGAACATGTGAAACAATGGTCTTTAGTTGTACACAACTCACACTGTTTATAGTCATTCAAAAAATACCCCGACATACATGTGCGGCATTGCCCAGTCACTTTATCACAGTCCTCACAGAATATTTCAGTGCATTTCGTGCAATTTGAGTTCCTCAAAAAGTACGTGTCTTGACATACAGAGCAACCGTATAACATCGTTGAACACACATCACATCCTTCTACATTACCTTCACATTTTCTACACTCTTTAGAGGAATATAATGTATACGGTTCTTGACACTGAACACATATCCCTTTAGCACTACATGTGTGACAATATAATGGTGTTGTGCAGTCGACACATGTACTTGAAACAAGGGAATATCCGTCCATACACGACAAACACTTTCCATTGACTCTTGAACATCGATCACAAAATTTAGTGGTGCATGGCACACAAGCGCCATTATATAAGTAATATCCATCAGCACAAATTAGACACACTGATGTCGACGAACACACTAAACAGCCAGTGCTACCAGATAATGGTGTACACACATTATTATTATTATTAGTCTCACATGTTCCACACTTCTTTAAACATGAAAAGGTGTTGTTTGAGTCGATTGTGAAGGAGTAGCATTTATCTCCATTAATAACCAAAGGGATATTCAAGTTGATAGTTATTAAGCCTGAGACAGTGGATGTCATATTCATTGTCATTTGAGATATGATGATAGTACCTTCATTAAGTGTCATATTGTCTATATTCGTGTTCTCTATTGTGTACACCCCACCTGTGAAATAACTTAAATCGGATATGTCTATTGTTAATGTGAACATATTATTCCCATCATTGATAGTCATTTTGTGTATTGTAGACGCGTTGTTTCCAACGACTTTCACATTGAGTCCATCTCCACTAAATTGCATTTTTAAACCACCAAATAAAGAAACTCCACTGATGTCGCCAGACACTATAAATGGCGTTGTGTAACTTTGAGTAAAGTCCAATTTCACGCCATTATCTGCCACAATCACTGCATCGATATGTTGATTATTGATCGAGTAAAATTGATCTGTATTGTCAAAGTGAATAGTGCACAATTCTCCAAAGCACGGACAGTGTTTGAATGTGAAAGGGTAGTCTATATACAATATTATACTCTCAGTAGAATCGATATACTGTGTACCATTTAATTCACAAAATACAGTAGTATCTAATTTGTTGATATCTTTACAATACCGCAGAAGTCGTGGAGTTGGTAAGATGAAACTGTCTTTAAGTGAATAGATAGAGTCCAATGAAATAGTTGTAGACGACGATATCCAATCAAAACATGGAGTGATAGAGTCTATAGCATCTAGTGCTAAAAATAGAGATGCTCCATTTGAAGTGAAAAGGGGGTCTTTATGTTCGACTGTCAAATTAAAAGTCCCCACAAATCCGCCATTGACAAGTTGTGTATCGTCTTTTACTAAGTTGCTTATAGCGCTGGATGAATAGACTATATCCCCAAATAAGAAACTTGATCCATTGATTCGAGAAGAATTCAATAAATAAAGACAAGGATATGGCTTTGTTCTTGTATCTGCATTGAAATATGTTGGTGTTAATACTGAATTCCCTTTCAAATAGAAATTTGTGCCTTTTCCAAAGCTTATAGAGTCGGGACTTAAGTCTGAGTTCTCAAGAATTAAGTCGGAAGAGATTAAGACACTAAGGGTGTTGATACTCGACTGTGAATTCTTTAGTGTCAAAGTACTTTCCACGATTGTCATAATGTCAACCACAATATTATACTTGTTTACCTCGTAACTCTCGCGACTGAGTGTAAAATTGTTAGCGATGTTGAGTGTTGCGTTGTTGAGTATTTGAAGGGTCTTATATCTATTCACATTGATATACCCATATATGTCAAGATAAACGTTTTCTCGGACGATTAAACCACCTGATCGACTGAATGGAAAATATGCGTTTGGATCTGAAGGGTTGCTTGGGGGATCAATACTGAGTATCGCGTTGATTCGAACATCTATAATGTAATCAGTGAGGAATAAATGAGTGTAACAGTTGGTGTTATACAGAAATACAGAGTCTGGTTGGTCTATTATTAAAGAAGAGCAAGAAGAGTCAATACCTTTCAAATCTTTGAGTGAGTCGTTGTAATATAGAATTATTATTATCATTAAGTAGAACAAACCTTCGTTTGTACAAAAAAAGGAAGAAGGGACTGAACACAATTCAGAAGAACTCATCACAACATAAAGTGTGACTATCAACAAGCATAGTGCCATTGTTTATTATTTGAAAGATACATTTCGTGGTCAAAAGAATAGTAATATTGTATTGTTTTGTTACTATTAAATTATAGTTTGTTTTGAGTATCAATGAAAGCGAAACTAAATGAATTGTGGACTGTGAAAAAGACGAATAAAAGCATATTAAATAAATATGGAAGTAAAAACAATTAAGAAATGCTTCACACAATCAAAATACATTCTTTTGTATGATATTTTTAGTATCTCATTTGATTGTAATAACTTATTAATAAATTAATAATTAAAAAATATAATCAGGATTTATTATTTTTTTTGGTAATAAAGAAAAAAATTCTTTATTACCGAATTTTTTACTATAATATAAAGTTTATATTATAAACTATGATTTAAGATTGAATTGTTTTTTATTATAAGAGTTAGTTTCTAATAATTAAAAAAATAAGAATAAACAAAGTGATGTTTTATGATTTTTTAGGGAATTGTCTTAAGATATAATAACACTTTTTGTGTGGAAAAATAATTAAAACTCCTGATTTAAAAAAAACAAATAATCTTTGTTCGGATCAGGCGTTTCCAAAATAATTATTGCCGAAAATGTGGTATTATAACGTACGAATTTATAAGAGAAAATAAACATTTTGGTTATTAAATGGTGACGTGGGTAATTAGGATTGTGATTTTGGAAACCTCTGGTTCGGATTAATTAATTTTTGTCACAAAAACATATTATTAATAATCAACCATATGAATATAGCACAATGTATAATAATATATAAAATATTTTTTATAGTATTGTCTAATTTATTTTAAAAAATGATTTTGACACCAAAAGAAAACCTCAAAAAACGACTTGATTGCTCTAACAAATTCTAAACAAATAATATATTTATTATAATATATAGATAAAAGCCATCCAATCACCTCACCCCATGGAATATAAAGAGCAAAACTCAAATTGAAGTTAAGAGATGAGTGACGAACCGAAAGCTCAACAAAACGTTTTAATAATTTATTTTACACGGGATGGTCATTCCGAGAAAATAGCACAAGATCTTCATGCTGCTATTCCTTCTGACATTATTAAAGTCCAAGAAAAGGAAGAAATGAACCGAGGAGGGGTGATGAACTATTTATATAGTTTCAATGAGTCATACTTTGGCTCAGACAACTCTTCCCTTCTTAAGACTGAAAATTTGACAAATACCGAACACTACAAATCTTTTATATTTATTGGTCCTGTTTGGTGGTGGGGTATCAATGGGCCTTTAAAAAACGCTTGTAAGGAGATTTTAAAGACTGTGACTCCTTCACAACACGTCTTCTTAGCTTTAAGTTTCAGAGGAAAAATGAACCCCGGAGACAAAGGCAGTTTCGATGAATTCAAAAAACTATTCACATCAAAAGCAATAGTCCACGACAATTATTTACGATGCCAAGAAGATGACTACGCTTCCGGCGCTGTCAAAGAACAATTCGACGCCTTTGTTGTGGAGATTAAAAAGGCTTTAGAATAAATGCAATTTTTATTATAAAATTTAATTGTTTAATTATTAAATTAACTATTGATATATTAATTAATATAATTATTAATTAAACTATTAAATAATTTGTATAATTATACTATTAATTATACTATTATATATACTAGTAATTATACTAGTAATTATACTATTTAATACAACAAAGCAATTAGACTCAATTCAAATATTTGCTCAACGCCTCTGCACCGAGATGCTTTTGAATAATAGAAGTGAACTGTCTAGTTGCCTCGACGACATCTTGGTTAGTATCTTCCATCAAGTCCGTCATATAAGGTAATGACTCTGCAACGAGATAGGATATATCGACACCCAAAG